CTTTGGCATAACTCACAGTTCTATTCTAAGCCCAGATTAGATTAATATGCCCCCTACCCCCACCCCCTTGTCTGCATCCCTACACACACACACACACACACACACACACACACACAAACACACACATACACACACACGCTCACATTTGGGCTCAAACGGGTGCTCCCATAAGTACATGCATTTCCAACCCTATGTCCCACTTGCCAGGTATACTATCGGCGTCTGGCCCCAACTGGAAGGAACAAAGGACCACTTCCCTAGCCATTCTCCGAGAGTTTGGGATGGGCAAAAATATACTGGCGGTCAAGATAGCTGAAGAGGTGGTTGTTGTTGTTGCTGTTGTCGTTACTGTTGCAATAATAGCAGTTTTTCGTTGTCGTCGTCGTCGTCGTCATTGTTGCTGTTATTATAATAATGGCATTGTCCTTGCTGTTGTTGTTGCTGTTGCCACTGCCGCTGGTCCTGCAGCAGCGATAATACGCATTCTTGTCCAGACCAAATTCAAATTTAGTAATCTACGCAGAAAAAAGACACATACTTGAAACACCCCATAGATAAAACCACATTTTCTGCTCCCGATGTTAGACATCTGTAATAGAAGATAGTGAGTTCTTCTCTAGCTTTCGGACAGCCATTGCAAACTACGGCCGGTGGGCAATATTCGGCCCGCGGGCAATTTCAGTCCTGCCTGCAAGTCTAAGTAGTAGATCTAATTAACAATGAATGTGGCTCGCGGCGATTCGATCCGTAATACAAACAAAACTGGCGGTCCTGAAAATTTAACTTTGATAGTTTCCAGGACAGATGGAAGCAATGGATCTAATATCTTATCTGATGAGGCATAAGCTATTCTGGCTGTTTGAGTTTCACTTATTTAATTATTATGAGGGCTTGGCTATTTCAATCAATTCCATTCAGTTTTCTCCTACTTTGGCCCTCGAGATATTCGGAATCGCTCAATCTGGCCCGCGGCTTGCACATGCTTAGTTGTGATTTGAAAGGCCCAAGGCAAAACGCGCGTGAGACACGAAATGGAATTCTGAATACATTGTGAAACTTTCTCTCTCCTACACGTGCCCTAAAAATAATCTGCAAAAAGTACTTTCTCTTTGAACTTTAAAAATAGAGAGCTGCAAGTTTATTTTCATATTTACGCCACGTAGGTGACAAGAGCAGACTAGAGTCGTGTCTGGAGAAGTTATCGGATCAAACAATCACGATATTAGACATCTCGAAATCCTTTCACCGATGTGTGTGGTGCAGCGGTTCGGCGCTTCACTGTCGCACCCTAGTGCGATTCCCGAGAGAGAATCTTTATCGAGTATCTCGGCCTTTTTGCTGGAATATTATTATATCCCTTTCATCCCGGGCTGGTCCTGGCAGGCAAGGTCAGAAGCCCACCTTCTAAATGATAGAAATTGTGTCGATTGGGGTGTAAAAATACCTATATTATATTTTAAAAGATATTACTCAACCAGGCCGAATAGCACAAGAAGTTTGCTCAGAGCAAAGATATATATTTGTGTGTAGTAGGCCTACTTCAGTACTAGAGTTCGTGGCAGTGATGTCCCCCACGTAAACGAACGAGGGTCTCGTGTGCCCATCTCTAGGACGCTGAACCTCAAGGGAAATACGCGCGTAGTTCAACATACACGTGAGTACTTTTCGAGGCGTCTCGCCGGTTTTGGAGGAAATTCACAAGCCTGCGCAGAAATAAGGATAATGATATTATCAGATTGTTCATATGAAGGGGGGCACGCCGCCAGGCCGATGAGAGTAAGAAGCCCCACGCC